TAAAAAAGTTTTTATTGTACAAAAAAACTTAGAGATGCTATTAAAGGGATCCTGGGACAGAAAAGGAATATTAGGTACAAAATAAAGAAACGTAAATGAAACAGCTGTCAGTCACTAATAACATTAACATTTCTACCAACAATTATGATATATTAATATTGGTCCATTAGGTCTGTTTACTATGTGTGACATTAGCATGGTTTTAATACAAGATATTAGCACTACAGGAACTGGAGTATGAGCAATATGGGAACTCTACACTGTCTTCACTTTTCTGTGAATATTTTTGATGTATATATTTGTATGCATATGTGCATGCATTCATTATATGTGAGGAGAGTGTGAATGTGTTTAAGTCCACATGTATGTATGTATTCATGTGCTTTGTGTGTGTGTGTGTATGTGTGTAAAAGCCACAGGACAACTTTGGATGTTGTTCTTCAGGATGCTGTCCTGGAACTCAGGAAGTAGGTTGTCTTGGCCTGCCGGGAAGCACCAGAAATCTTCCTGTCTCCATCTTCCCCACCCCAGTACTGGGAATCCATGTGTGCACCACCACACCTAGCTTTTTCACATTGGTTCTGGGCATGGTCTTAAGTCCTCGAGCACTCAACTGATTGAGTTGTCTTCAGTCTCACTTCCATGACTCTTAAATTATTATAAATAAAATTTCATTAGTGATTATGGATTATATTTTCTTGATTTTCATTGTGTATGTGTGTGTGTGTGTGACCACATACTCATAGGAACATAAAAGAAAAAGACACAGTTATTTGCTCAAACATTAACAGTGATTGTAGTAGGTGCTGAGATTAGAGAATACTATTTTCTTATTTTATGCTCCCTTGTATATAACTTTGCAACACAAACAAAAAAAAAACTACAAATATGAATTTGCCACAGAATACTTCCCTGGCATAAGTACAAAAAGAATTAAATTTAATATTTAAAGTTCCTGAAAATATTTTCTGGGTGCACAGCATGGACTGATTCTGCTTCAATAAAATACAAAAGCACATTTTGATTAATGATTTTCTTCCTACTGTGTTCTTTGATAGTACTAAGGATTAAGATAAGAGAAATAATTATTTTTTGAACAAAGATATCCTGGTCTGCATTCTACCACTATAACAAAGTATCTGAACTAACCAACTCATAAAGAGAAAAGGTCTATTTTGCCTCATGGCTCTTTTTGGCTTTTGAGACAGGGTCTAACTCCGTAGCTCAGCCTGGTCTCCACAGCGATCCTCCTGTATCAGCCTCTGGAATGCTGGGATTACAGATGGAAGCTACCACCTCTAGCTCTGGTCCATGGTTTCAGAGGTTCCAGCCCTTGGAAAAGAAAAAGGGTATGGTGTTCCACAAGCCTCTTTGAAGGCATGCCCTGTGCTTCTCTTGCTCTAGGTTCTTCCAGTAGCCCCAGTCTCTAAAACACCCCCCTCCCCACCTCCAAATGTATCACCTTAGGATCAAACTTCAACATCCGGCATCTAAACTCTAACACCAGAGTCTGGCAGAAGATCAAGACAGCCTTAGATCACTTTCTGGAGAAATTCAGTTCCCCTTCTTAGTCTGCTCACTTTCTCCATTCTTACACCTTGTGTGAGGCAAGATGTGTAAACCTCCAGAGAAGTTCTGCTCAGGCTCCAGGATGGCGCTGTCAGAATCCCTGTGTTCAGCTCCCCAGCACACCTGCTGAGCGTCTCACACCGTGAAGAGAAGACAATGGACATGAGCTGGTGATGTCATCACCACCTTCCTTGGTGGGAAACAATCAGCTTCTTTAAACAGAAATCTAGTCTTTCATTCCCTTGAGAGCTGTGCTCATTCCGCTTTAAATTATTACATCACTCTTGACTTGATCTTATTTAGAATAGGCCACCCACATTTTCAATGGGCCATTTCATTTATTTATTTTCTCATTTTGTAAATAAACCTTGAAGACTGACAATTTATCAGTCACCATGTTGGTAGCTGAGAAATATTAAGTATGAACAACATTAACTAGCCTTTGACTATAAGGGGATCCTAGAAAAAATGCCTACATGATATAATAAATGCTATAATATTCAATAAAGTAAAATACACATTAGTTACAATGAGAAATTGCATCCATGCAAAAAAGAATAGTAGGGAGTGTGCAGAAACAATAGGTTAGTATTGGGACCCACTCTGTAATTGGCGTGTGGGCCATGGGAGGAGTCTGTGCTTTCTATATCTCTGTTTGGGGGACCATCACCTACAATAACACTACTGTCTACTTTAACACATTGCTTTTCTCACAGACAGCTAAACAGTGAGCTCAAAAGCAAAAACTGAGCATGCCCAATTTATCCTATTTTCTTCTCTTTTATAGGAACCTATGTATGCTTACAATCAATTCTTTTTTCTGCTGTGTGCGAAGAAATCCTTAATGTATCTTTCAGCAACTTTATATTATCAATAAACAATTTGATCTCTGCTTATCATGTGTTTATAATAGAAGAAGAGGAAGAGAGATATCAAAATGAGCTCATAAGGTCTAGGGAGGTGATTCGGCAGGTACAAGCACTTTCTATACAAGCGTGAGGCTGCAGTTCGGGTCCTCAGTGTCCAGCTGGGAGGTGGAGATCCCTGGAGAAAGTTTGGCAGCTAGACTAGCCAAATTGTTGAGGCTTGGTTTCAAATGAGAGACCAGACTCAATAGGGTAGAGAGAGACTAGGGGGGACACCCAGCATCAATCTCTTGTCTCTCTACACATGCATAAATATGCCCTCACGGCGGTGGGGAAGAGACAGAAATCTTT